ACTTATAGGTCGTTATTATATATTTAAGTGCAAGTTACAAAACATTATGCCAAACATTGTAGGTTTCAAATCCTGTGTAAAACAAACCATTGATCTGGAAAGTATCATTGCGAAAGCTCAGAACAAAAGAACAAAGTTTCTAAAGAAGTGGGGGCCTTTTATTGAATATTATGATCTGTAAATGTTTTTCTGTTTTTCTGTTATTATTGTTTTGTCTGTAATTTTTGCATAATGAATATAAAAAAAAAAGTAAGAAATGCATAGATTTTGACCGCCGAATACTTGAGCCACGCAAATTAATGCAACAACCATGGGCGACATTAAGTCAGCCAGGCTATGGGCAAAGGCTTGATTCGGATGTTTCGCATTCTCGACACCTTACCCAGTGGCGCACCTTTACACTGTGAAATGCATTTCACGCGAATTAAGAGAGGATATTACTGGGTAATGCAAGTCGAGTATTCGTTCACATATTTGATAAACACTAGGGCTGCACAGAGTCAGAGAATTGTTTCCGAATGCAAAGAGTTAGACCACGTGCAGTGGTGTAAGTAACACTACGTGTCCTGAGTGAAGACCGCTTTTATTTTTAATGCATCAGCAATCGACAATTCTATCTGAAATGTATGTATGTATATGTATATATATATATCGTAACATGTATGTAGACTACTATCTCGTTTAGTATAGGTGATCTTATGTACATTATGCCTCATGGCGTAGGTTGTATAACTGGCGTTTACCGTCATAAACAGATTATTGTGATTACCGACATATGCCATGAAACTGAAATGCAAGTAATTGTACAATACATAGGGCTGAACTAAGGTTAATTTCATACGACTACTATATATGGCACGTCATGTCATTTGCGCATTAAAAAACTGCAATGTCTGTCACGTGACATTGAAAGTATCATAATACGTTACATTACACATGAAAACAAATCGGATTTAAAGCCAACGCTGATCGAGACTGAATGGATTTAATTACCATTTCTCCATTTCGAATAAAAATAATTCTAGGTCACATGACAGCAACTATTTTTATGCCATTTTTTTTGGTCATACTTAGTCCATAATTTTAAAATTGTCTATTTTGGCAAAACCAATGTTTTTTTTTATTATTTCTGGTGTTTCGGATTTAAATCGAATCTAAATAGAAATAGATTTAAATCCAAATGAATTTAGCAGTTATCGCACCATAGTCAGTTTTTTATTAGGCAACACAACAATGTCGATTTTGTTGAATATTTACAAAATACAAACTCGTGACGTAAATTCGTTCGATCATGGATGATGTCTCAACAGAATTGTAACATTTTTAGATGTGGAATTAATATTCACTAAAAAAACGTTTTGGGTGAATAAATAAAATAATCCTTATTGAACTATTGAGATTTTGTTTCCATGACAATAAAGAAAAAGATTTTGTAAAGAAAGGAAGGAAAATTACGACAGAACAAAAGGCTCCAATGAATGAAATTATGTAATTTTTGTTTGTGAGACAGCTTGTTGATTGAAGCAGTTGTCAACGAATTTACAGAATTCTCTGATTAACTTCTTATTTTTGTTTGTCAGTAAGGTAATCAGTTTACCATTTGTCTGATCGCTTTACATACTTATCTTATTTAATAAATCCCGTCTTTCGTTTTTCATATTGTTTAAGAAAATTCTTCAAGTTTATTTCTATTGCATATAGGATATGTTCTATTTTTGTCTCGATGTCAGTGTTTCGATATCTCCTTATTTCTATTTGAATTACATTCGCACGTATCTCCAGTTTTGCCATAGATCCCCTATGCGCATTTGTTTTTATTTCTAGATACACATCCAAAGTTTATTTACAACTCGCTATAAGTACGTAATCTATTTTTGTGTTGACCACCCTTAATATCAACATGTTTACATCTTTACAATATTGATGAAATTAAATTTTCAAAAATTATGCTTTACTCTGTTTTGGTCCGACACATGCACCACATTAATTTTGGTTAGAGATTTGTCATGCCATTAATCATTAAATTTAGATTTGTCATCCCCGTTAGAATCCGCCAGACTTCCGTTAGGACCCGGCAGGCCCTCGTTAGGGTCATCTGTTCACTGTCAGTCATTATCTTATCTCTGTTCAGTTGCGTTGAATATGATCACCGTACGTGGTCAGCATAATAGTCATCGTGCTCAGCGGTCAACGAACTTCAGGATTAAAATTCAGGACGATTGTCTATGCATATAATATATGGACTATCAGATAATTGATACAAACTGTTACAGTGAATTGTGGTGACTGAATGCTGCTTTTTAAGTTTTTTCACGTTTCAGTTAGTTTTCATTTTTTTGTATCTGATTGTTCGGAGATGGTACATTAATAACGAAGGATTACCGTCATTTAATAAAACAATTTGGTACTCAACTTGTTTACATAGAATCAGAAACAAAAACAAGATATGCTAATTAATTGCAGATTAAAAATTGTACAAATGGTGTAATTCCATCAATGTGAATGTGTACACATTGATGGTTTCACAAATTGGCCTCACTGGTATGTGGAACGGCAGGATTTTAGTTTATAATTATTCCCATGACATCTTCCCATCGTCAATACGGGTGTATCATAATAATAATAATAATAATAATAATAATAATAATAATAATAATAATAATAATAATAATAATAATAATAATAATAATAATAATAATAATAATAATGTGCTGCTATTATTCTTTTTCATCACAGGCTATATTTGTTTCTTTATTTCAATGTTATTGTTTCGCTTGTTTCGTGCAAAACGGGTAAAACGGGTTTGACACTGTACCGTGAGTATACCTGGCAAATATGTAGATTCCGAAGATATACGAAGAGTGCATGATACTCGTTTAAGTGTCATCCGAAGACATCCGAATTATTTATAATATGTATTGTTAAGGTACCACGGATGGCTGGACGTCGTAACGTGTTCATGTAGGATATCAACGTACATATTTAATGAGAATAATGTTGAATTACCGGGGAAAGGATATGCCCTTATTTTACAGCTAATATAAAGCGTGCCTCTGTGTTGTCACATGCCATCTAGGTTGTTGAGTAATTCTTTCCAAGAAAACAGTTTTGATTTTGTTTTGTTTTTCAATCAATTTCATTATTAGCTTGTGTTAATATTTAATTTTTTGAGGGGGAATATATTTTTGTCTTATTCAAGTTCTCAGTAGTCTATTACAAACTAGACCACTTTCATGTTTATCATGCGTCGTGAAGAATGACCTCTATCGTTACAAAGGTCGTTCACGATGTGTAATCAAGAAGCAATTTGCATAAAGTCGAGAGTTGTAATCCGATCAGATAAACCATGACAAATGTCTAGTTTATAATAGTGGGAGTTGAAAGAATAAGACAAATATATATATCAGTGTATATATATTTTTATTTTATATTAAAAATTAACACAAATTATTCCAGCTTCCTGTGGGTTTTCCTGGCATTCATCGTAACCTTTGTTATGTAAATGTATCAGAGCATGAAATCGACATCATATTTCTAGTCCAATCAGGTGACGAATTAGTCACGTGATTACTGATATCGTTGAACAGTGCTTTCGTGACGATGTGAGAAGGTCTGTCTCGTATTTAAAGCAACTGGCTATGTTTTTTAATGAGTTCAAGTTGACTGCCTGTGACTATATTACCATAGAGGGGCCTTAGAACACATCTTACCCGTCTCTACGGTCACAGGAGTGGCCGACCTTGGCGCTTACATTGACGACGTACTGGTAATCCCGAGCCGTTCCATCTACTAAAACTGCCACACCATTGAATGACTTTGTTTAGTCGGCATTTTGTATTGTTATCAGTCTTTTTATTGCACACAAGTGAAGGTAAGGAGGCCGGTCACTGTGAGCGTCGGTGAAAAAGCAACATGATTAGCATTTTTAAGCGGAAGAAACAACATTTAACGATCACCGCTGATAATCCGACGTATACCGTATACTACCTGGGCAATGCACATACATTGCTGTCGAATGGAGAGGGTTGCTGTGACAGCCAAGTGGAACGAGTGTGGACAAGATCGAAACAGGGTAAGAAGGTCAGAAAAGTAAATGTGACTATTACTGCTCGTGGACTCAAACTAGATTTTCTCGATAAACCGAGACGTGGACCTTCCGCCCAATTTTACCTGCTTCATCGAATTTCTTATTGTGTGGCCGATCGAAGCAACCAAAAGATATTTGCCTGGGTATACCGCCACGAGTTAAAGAGAAAGGCGGTTGAACTTCGCTGTCATGCAGTATTGTGCAATAAATCAGAAAAAGCGAAAGCAATGGCTTTATGTCTCTACCAAATATTTACATCGTCCTTTGTGGACTATAAAAGAGAAAGAAAGGACCGGGAACGCAGGAACAAGGCGGACCCTTATAAGCCACCCCTGCCGCTACGCAGAATTCTTAACGGGGCTTCTAAATTCCATCCGCCATTAGATCGCAGCCGGAGTGCGCCAAAACTGTGTGCTATCAGAGAAGACAAGGTACGCGAAGAAGCCGAGGAAGAAGAGATGAACCAAAATACTGTATTCAGAGATGACACACTTTTAGATATGTCTGACAGAATGGCGCACATCGCTATTGGGAACGACGTTAGTGAGTTACAGAAAGACAGTGCTGTGACAGAGTTATTGAGGGGCGACACCCACGACGACAGTCGAAACGACCCTATCCCAGCTACCTGAACACTTGGGCGGTACTTTATAAATAAATATACACTATAAATGCTCTCGTTAACAGGTGGTTGTCATTGATGCATTCTGCTACACGGTGTTCGGTACAACAACGACTACACCGTGTAAATTGTCATACAGTACATATCATTCGTTCCAACCTGACATGAATTTGGTCGTCATCACTGACAAACACTTTCATTTTACGTCAGACATTTGAATATTTCTCGCAGTTTTTTATCCTTAGATCTATATTTATTATTTCTAATATACGACTACCAGCAACACAACTTGAACTTGGGATATATTTTAACGAGCATGTGTTTTCGCCACATGTGTGAAATATTTGCCCAGTGCTAACTGCTTGTACAGTGTGGGTAGTGCCATTGCTTCGTAATTATTCACAAGCACACGTTAAATGCACATACAGATTTGTCGGTCAATCATTACCATGACAACCATATAAACTAAAACCACAGGACCATGATTATCGTACACAAGACTGTCGTAGCTCACTGTCTCGCTAATTTCACATCTCGTAGCCATCACCTATGAAAAACAATTCTCAAAATGAATGCTTTCATAGAGGATAGTTTGACACGAATTAACAACACAATTCTTGGAATATGGTTTCAGCTGATTCTTTCAGAAGTGCAAGCCGATATACATGTACCGGATAATGTGCCCTGACAGATGGTAACATGCTGATTATTTTTAATTTCGAAATGTTAATGCTTGGACAATGTTGGCATAGAGTACCATTGTTAAACAGGGTAGTTTCATGTTAACTTGTTTTAGCACATGTATTAGTGACGAATGTCATACAGTGGTACCCAACTGAAGTACTAAGTTATTTGTATTCTTAAAGGGGAACCGCTCAATCCCATGGATTGCACCAAAGAATCATGGGACACTATTGTTTATGTTGTTTACAATGTTAATCTATCTTTTGTTATCCATTGTTATTTTAATCCAGAAAGTAAATTTGTTGTAAAATTAATCTTAACTGGAAGGTGCCCCTTTAACAAAGAATGGGTCTATTTTAAAGCCAGAAATATTGAATTTACATTGCGTTTTCAATTAATTTGTTTTAGTGTTATATTTTATGGACCACAATCCATTATTGTATCGCCTTTTTAATTATGCACATAATTTCTCGATTAAAAACTATGTATCACTTTATTGTATTACATTGCTACT